CATCAGCATCTTCAGCGGGCTGTCACGGCCCCGGCTCAGCCCAGCTTAGCATGACCCAGCTCATTGATTAAAACCATAATTAAGAAACTTTCAAGTGCTGATGGTGATGGTGGTTCTGTTGCTTCTGGTGGTTATGGTGGTGGTGATGGCCAATGCACATTTACTTCTTCATCCACAGTATATTCACAGAGGTGTGACCTCGTCTTGAAACTTCGTCCGTCACTCCGATGGGCGCTGGAGATGCTTTTTCAAGTCATGCAGTGGAGCGTGCTTATGTAGTTATTAAAATTCTATTACTTACTTGGATATTCGCCGCTCGCCATTCGTCTACCCACCTACATACCTACTACCGACCTACATACCATTGCCTATCGAGCCTGGAGCCTGCTGTTGGCACTGATTTCAGTTGCCTTTTTGCTAAATTGCAAACGAAATCGAAGAGAAGCGCAAACGAAATCGGACAAAATCGGTTTTTTTTCTTATTTTTTTTTTAATAAAATACAAGTATATATAAAGAAGCAGAACTCAAAAGCGAACTTAGCACAAAGTTGTTGGAATCAATCAAGCATTGGACCCTTTTCGACTTGACTAGGTGGCAATGGGTCGGTCCATGCCCAATGGCTCTGGTCGTCCCGTCTCGTCGCAGTTTTCGCTTTGAAAAGCAGCGCATCTCGTTTTTCGGCTCGTCTCGGCTTTTTCCTTTATGTGTGTGGCTCTTTCGTTTTTTATGTTGCCAATCATTTTTTATTTATGCGTTTTGTTCTTTGACTAACAGGGGGCGTTCATGAGTGGGTCTCTCTAGTGAGTGTGTGAATGCCTGTAAGTGTGTGTGTGTGTGCTGGTGTGTGTGTGTGTGTGCTGCCAATCAGCGTTTGGCCATTTCGGTTGCTCAGCTGACCGACTCAGCTGACCGTACAGACGGCGTTCAAGTTGAAATACACTTTATGGCTCGCACTTTTGAATTCTATTTTCTTTCTTCTTATTCTTGCGCTTGTTCTTCCAATCTTAGTGATTTTTTTTCTTCCCGCTTTGCCTCGCTTTGTGTTTGAGCATTTGCCTGGCATTTGATTTGGTCTTTTTATTACGCATACGCCGCGTTGTACGCCAGACAAAGCATTGATGAATTGTTGCCGGCGCGTTCGAGTCAAATCAACTATAGTTTGCTGCCAGCATCATAAGCAACGCACTGTGGATCAGATTATGATTGTAACTGTATAACTTGTAGACAAATATGCCTTCGCTTTAAAGCATGCGTAACTTGCTTATGTGTTCTTTCATCGCCAACTATCGAAGACTGCTGAATTTTGCATTCCTCTTATAGAGAGTATAATATCAAGACTCTCGAACACTTATAATATAAAGAAATATAAATAAAAAACAAGCATTAGTTTATATTTCTTCTTTTGTTTGGCACAATTATTTACGGTGACAGGAGAGAGAAAAAGAAAAACAAAGAAGTAATTATTTTTATTTACTTTATTTTATTACGAAAAAGAATAAAATCTATATAATATAGTAGAGAACTTAAGCTTAATAAAACTTAAGAAATAAAAAATCCTATAAAAATAACAAAAATATCTAATAACGAATCCTACTCGGTTTTTATTTGCCGAACTGCCAGCTGTGCCCCGATTCACAGCAGAGAGTAGTCAGATACGTTATTAGATCTAACAATAACGAAATGGAGATAAAAAAAAGATAGCATTAGAAGATGCAAAGAATTATGATTAGATAAAAAAAGAAAAAATTTTAATTAAATATAATATAATATAATTAAATAATAAAAAATAATTAATTAAATATAATTAATGGCTAAATAGTATGACTCAAATCCTTCAACTAATTTAATGCCTAACTACACACTCTCACTGTTTGCGAAATCCGAACAGCTTGTAGCAACCTTCCTGTTCTGCAGAAGTAATGAATAATTTAAAAAACATTGGCTCTCAGAACTTTAAAAGAAAACTAAGAAAACATTCCAATCGCTGGTTAATTTACTATTTAATTTTTTTAATATATCCATTTTTAATCATTTTTTTAATTATACAAATTTCAAAAAGTGTTAATGAAAAAGTTCGGCTGAACTGCTCTTATCGCTTGGAATTTAATGAAATTTCTCCTTTCAACCAGAACCAGGCCCACTGTGCGGCATTGGCGTCGGTGTGTCCCGTGCCTAAACACACGCCAGCAATCGCATGAATGTGTGTGTGTGTGTGTGAGTGTGCATGTCTGCGCGTGTTGCCTCTGCCTATTTTATGATTTATTGTATGTTTTTCTCTGCTAGTATTTACCCTCATTCACGTTGATGATGCGACCGTTGGTATCAGGACCAATAGCGGGAACAAACTAACCGGCCCGTCATTGAGCTTATTACACTGACCTTTACACACACACACACACACACACAATCACACACATACACATGTATTGGCAATCCAACAATGATGCCAAAGCAAAAATTTGCCAAACTGTTATGGAAGTTTTTGTAGCACACTTAAAGCCATTGTGAAGTTCAATGATTTGTTGCTAGTTGTTTATGTGCCGGAATAAAGATGTCTTACTCTCTCCCTTAGTCTTCCTCGATCTCTCTCGCTTTGTCGCCTTTCCCCCTGGGACATTTTTCTAGCTTTTTTCTTACAGAAGCGAAAAAAGCACAACTTTTCGTCTGTGTTTGTTATGTGAAATAAGCGAAAATATTTGTCAATCTCTCACACCCGCTCTCTTCGTGGATTTTTCAGTGTTTTTAGTTAGTTTTTGCTTATGCAGGCAATTCAAATTCAATTTCTATATCGATTGAAATCCGTTTTGTTTCTCGTATCTCTAATCTAAAGAGATCTTAATTGCACTTTATCTGGCAAGTTCTCTGGTCACCCTCTCTCTCTCTCTCTCTCTATCTCTTCACTTTCTCTCTCTATCTTTGTTGTGTACTTTTGTGTACCATAATGGCACTCTCAAGATCTATCCAAATATTCTCCTGTTCTTTTTTTGTATATTTTATGTTCATCCACACATTATTTTATGTACTGGTATATATAAGTATTCATTGCTTCCCCCATTTCTCTTCCCCTAGTAGTCTTCATATTTTTAACGTATACATTTCTCAATTTCTCTGTAACGTTTCTTTGCTGTGCTGTCTCCGTTCTTTGACAACTGTTTCTTTCGCTCTTTCTTGTAACCTTTGCATTTTTCTCTAATTTTTTCTTTCTGCTTCATGCACTTCCCTTTTCTGTTCTCTGCTTTTGAGTTGTTTCCACTCTTTGGTAAATTTTTGCAGAGCTCTTTGTACAACTTTTTCCGTTTCTCTCATCCTCTTGTCTTCTTGACTCATGAATATACCTTTCTATTCTTTAACTCTCGTACACAATTCTGTTAAGTTATTTTCAGTCATTGTTTACTCTCAGTCTTCTCCAAACATTTAGATTTCTATCAACCTTACTTGTATTTTTTTTTTCTTACATTCCTCTCGACCATTATCCATTTTACGTATATATAGTATGTATCTCCTCTTTTGAGTTGGCTGAACTCTCTGGGAACTATTTTTGCTTTCTATAATGCTTGCGTTCTCTCCATCCTTTTCTTCGTTGAGGTGTCTCCACTCTTTCGTAACTATATCTTTTATTTTTTCTCCTACCCTTTGCATTTTTCTCAATCTTTTCATTTTAACTGGCAAATCCAATTGCCTGCAAATTATATTTTATTGCTGCGGCCTGAGTGAAAAGGCTGCCACAGCAGCCATCAAAACTACCCACAAGATGGCGGCTCATTTCGGTCCGGTCCGGTCCGGCCGCTCCAGTCCAGTCCAGTCTAGTCCGGACCCTATTGGCCTCTGCCTTCCTCTTCCCCACCACCCGCGTTACAGGCTGTTTTGATATGCTTGGCACTTATCGTTAGGTTACTTTTTGTTGTTGTTGTTGTTTCTTGGCCTGCTTCTTATTTCAATTTTTTTCCTTCTGCATGTTTCACTGCCTATTGCCACATGCTTCATTTCTATTTGTTTGTTTGTATGTGAGTGTATGTGTGTGTGTGTGTGTGTGTGCTAGAAAGTCAACTGCCACAAACAGTTAGTTGCCTGGCGGCCACCAATTCCGCCGTCGCCACCAGCATGTCTCCCCCGCCCCCTCCTCCTCCCATCCCTTTGGCAGCACACCGCACCGCAGTGTACGAACAAACACAGTTGTTTATTATTTATTTACAATATTTTCTTATTCAAAATGAAGCCGCAAGGTCTTGGAATTATTGATGGCAGATATACCCAGAGGGAGAGAGAGAAGGAAAGAGAAAGCCAACATATCAGGCTATCCTTCCTGCTCCCTGCCCCCCTTATACCATTCCCCAAAACTTCTGGTACCCCTTTGCTGCACACGCGTCCAAAACATTTGGCCGAGGGCAATATTTTTCTGCAGCTCTGCCGTGCGCTCCAGTTTGAAGTGCGGTCAAAAAGTTCGATTCGATTTATACATTTTTCTTCTTGCGGCCAAGGAAAATGGCAAAGGCAACCAGCAAGGACTCTGGGACAGCACAGCAACAACAACAACAGATAGCTGCAAAAATACCACACACAACAAAATATATACATATATATATATATATTTTTGAAAAAAAAGAACCACAAATTATTATTAACTTTTCCATTAGGCTGTAAGAATGACGACGACTCAAAGCGACGGCAACTTCATGGACTGTCAAGTTCATTAGCCAGGAATTTGCATTAAAATTTCACGATGGCCAACGGTTCAAGAGGCACTGAGCAAACAGTTTGACAGCCACAGCTGAGCTTCAAGCTTGTTGGCAAATATGTACGATAAATTTTATGAATTTATTTATCATGTTGCACGATGGTGATGATTTATGTGATTGGCAACTGACACATATTTATCAGTGTGTGTGTATTTGTCTGAATGTTTGTGTGATAAATGATTAAATATTTGCATATATTCTATATCCATCTAGTATCTCTCACTAATTTGTTATCCATATTTGTCTCTTGTCCCGCCCAACAGCAACGAAAAGTTCTACACATGCTGCGATGAACCATATCTGGACATCACATTCAACATCACAATGCGCCGGAAGACTCTCTTCTACACAGTCAACCTAATCATACCCTGCATGGGCATCAGCTTCCTCACAATTTTGGTGTTCTACTTGCCCTCGGACAGTGGCGAAAAGGTAATTCCCCATTTCCCATTCACATACAAATGCTAATAACAGGCATTGCTTTTCACATTTTTCGCTACATTTTTCATTCCAAACTTTATTTTTTTTTAAATTCTGATGACTTTTTTGAGCAAACAAATGCATTTGTATCCAAATTATTATTAAAACGATTCTCTTTCTTAACTTAATGTTAAATATTAAACGCAAAAGCAGGGGTATCCATATACAATTTAAATCAGAATGACAGAACGAACGAGTCGAGAAACTGAAGAATGCAATTTTTGCGACATTTAAATGAGATGCACAAATAATGAATATATAAATATAGGCGCTGCAAAAAAAAAAAAAAAACAATATTAATAAAACACACAATGTGCACGTCAGTTAAATTTATTGCAGAGCCAAATGAATTCAGTTAATTTATTTTAATTTAAAATCTGCTAAAAACAACTTTGTTTTAAATAAAACATCGACAATTATAAATTCAACTCTGCACATGCATTTAAAATGCGAACACTGTGGAAAGCCATGCAAGTACAGTTCCACTTTCTTTTCTCCCACAATATTTAAGAATACAGAGATTTGATTTGTGCCAACGAATGGAGAAAAAGATTTAAAAAAAAAACAGACCCTGTCAGTAATAATTTCATAGTTTCTCACTTTGCATTTAAAAACTAAAGAAATGTCAAAACCGCAAAAGGTTCAAGCGTCGCACCGAGGTGCCAACGAAAACAAAAAGTGTAACTTTATCCGCCCTTAGAATGCGATTTTCATTAGGTTTGGTTTCCTAAGACTCGTATATTATATCCATGATCCACCAATGCTTATACACACACGAGTATTTCGATTTTGTCTCTCATATTTCTCTCATTAAACAGAACAACTACAGTTAAAATAAAGGGTATAATATAACACTTTTAACCGTTTCTTAAATAATTAAATTTATTTATATTTATTATTATTATTATATATTATGTATGATAATATAATTAAGCAATATATAATTTAACAACAATAGTAACCTCCAACTGCAATGAAGCCTTCGCTGCGTCTTGCAACACAACTGAATTGGAAAACGAACTATTCAGTTATTCGTACGCCCCCTAACTTGTAATTGAAATTAAAATGAATAATCGACATGTCTACTATAACATAATTGGCAAGGGGAGAAAAGACATTTTTGGATGCTCACAAAATAATTCGGAGGAAAACAAAAGATCATTTAATTATTGGTATTGCCCTCTTGTGGATCTATTTTCGCCCACTTACTACCAAATGCAGATTTCAAGGATTCCTTGGATTGCTAATTCAGTGCTTCCTCACCTTTTTCTCCACTAGGTCTATAGTGTGCTGAGTTGGAGTTTTAAGCTGCCATTCATTTATCAGAAATGTTTTGAGTTGTATTGTGTTTCGAATATTTCCGGCCATTGTCTGTTGGAACAAACATTTCTTTGTGGCACTTGCACAAAAATTGGCTTCCAAAATATTATTTTACACATGCTTCTCTATTTCGTTGTCAACCAAACCATTACATTTCCTGCACAATGCTTGACGTTGAACATGAGGGTTTTCTATTTCATGGCTTCATTTGTTTTTCGCAGGAATTTTAAAGGACCTTCGTACACACAAACTCGGCAAAAAAAATGGTTAATTAAAACCAGTACATAGTTTGGCAAATACTAGCTTTTTATTTAAACATTGGAAATTAGTTCTACGTAATTGCGAATTTATTTATTTATTTATGGCATGATAGCTTTTCGAATTTGTGGCCTTCCTGTTTGTTGAGGTTTTGTGTCGTCGCCTTAAAAATAATGTCAAGCTTTATTTACTTAATTAGTGGGGCAGCCAGAACACGAAAATTCTATTAGTGTCTATATTGCGAAAAGAATTTATTTCTTGAACTATCTGTCATCTGCAATTTTCTACAGCTTGTTGCTGGTTGGCTAAATAAACGAAAATTTATTTATAATTTATTAAAGCAATATTCTGCTACCAATATGGCAGCTTATGAAGAATACAAGAGTTGTTCATAATATACCTTTATAGGACACACTTAAATCTATGTATATATACAATGCTATATTAAGAATATTTTTAAATTAAATATGAAGTAAAACATTTAGAAAACGTTTTTCGAAATGCTTGCCCTGAACAAAAAAAGTTATAACAGCATTTCATGAAAAAGTTTTCCCTCTCTCGAGGTAGTATTTCTGAGAATTTTGCAGACAAATGCAGACAATGAATTGTGGCCTAAAGTCTGTCCTTTCGATTGCAGAGTTATAATAAAGGCTCCGAAACCCTTAACCAGAGTTAGCTTTTAAGTGTAGTCAAAAAAAAAGCTAGTTCTTAAATCGCGAAAGTCTAGGCAAAGCATGGAATAGCATAATGCTTTTATTATTGCTTTGTTCTGTGCTCTACACTCAAAAAAAGTGCACTTTAGCGCACTTACTTGGTGTCGGGGGAAACACTTTATAGGCAAATAAGTTTCTCTGATCTCTATTGCATTCAAAAGTTAGAGCATAAATGGTTCGATTTCTGTTGAATTGGACTGACATGCTTCCTGTTTCGCTTTCGAAATCAATTGCCATAATTTATGTGCCAGCCAGCGCGACCCAATGTGCTTTTAATTAAAAAGCAAAGGCAAAACTGTGTACGAGTATGAAGAATAAAAATGATGTGCATACAAGTGAAATATATGCATAATAATTTCACACACCAATGAAAATGAAAATGCATTTTGGACTTTTTTCCAGCGCCATGCCCCTCTGTATCCCATCGTTTTTTGTTGTGGATGGCAAGTTTGAGTAAATAAAATTACATGCATGTTGTGCTTAATTTAATGCACACACACACGCATACACACGCACACACACACACACACACACACACGAATGCAGCACAGCAGCAGACACCGCACATTGTGAAAATGGTTGCAGTTTCGCTTTGCGTTTTTCCAATTATGCACAGTTTTTATTTTCAATTTTTATGCCTTGCGCTCTGCGGTTCATTTGGGACCGGGTAGGTAGGTAGTGGGGTAGGGGACTGTAGAAGCCGATGGCCGGCGTACGGGCGTACGGTGAGGGGGGAAATGAATGAAAAGAAATAAAGGCGGCATAAATGCATAAATATTTACACAACGCCGTCGGAATTATGAATAAATTATGGACAATTTTCAAAATAAATAAAATGCGCAAATAATTTGCGCTAGCGGTTTGTGTCTGCACATACTGCCCATACATCATATATACATATATAGTATATTTTATGTGATGCCTAATTTGTACAATAAATATTGACAGCGTACAATTGAATGCTGATGGCTGCAGCAACACGAACGCGTTCGATGGGCGACAAAAAACGCTAGAAAAACGCGTGACCACACATGCGAATGCGTGCATTACATTTTACATTCAGTTGCATTGTTGTTCTTGCTTTTATTACACACGCATCTACGCATCTGTGCACTCAAATACTTGCGCCTAAAAGCAGGCAACAAGAATGGTCTACGAGAGACTTGCACGTTCCTGGCTTTTAACAGTGTCCATACGAGTGCACGCATGGCCCAGAATACACACTTATTGCCAAACAATTGCCAGTCATTTGCAGTGATCGACACTAAACAGCTGTAAAAAACACGAACATACACACACTCATCAAAAAAAAAAACGAGGAAGAGAGAAAAAAAGAGCTGTAGAAAGGGAGCGTGCTCTTTGATTTTGCATTCAACTGTCTTTTTATTGTGGAAACAATTTTTGTTATTTCAATTCAATTTATTCGCTTTTCTTAAAAACATTATGCATTTGCAGGTCAGGTAAGGATATCTGAATACTAAGAGTACAAGAAGCTTAGCCTTTTCTACTTAATTAAGCTAAATGGAGAAATATAAAAAGTTAAACAATTGACCGCTCCAAGCACCAAAAATTATTTCCCAAAAAATTACAACGCTTAATGAATACTAAACTAACTGAATGCAAGTTTTTTATTATTTCTAAATTATATATTATTTATATTTAATGCTTAGGCAAGCAATCCTTTCTGTACTAATTCAACACATCAACCCAAGCTGAGGTTTGATCTGAAAAGGTACATTTTGTTTTCTATGCTAAGACGAAAGTTTCTATTTATAAATGGGTATAAAACACGAACTAATATATTTGGTTTCTTACTGATAAATTATGTTTTACCTCTCATAGTTAGTCCGCGTGAAAATAGTGTAGCCTACTTTCCAGCGGACAGTACTTTAAATCGCCTTTGATGTCACATGCAGGCGCGTCGATGCATTTAACATTAATCACACAACACACCATTACCTAAACAATGCGCTGCACCCGCACACGCACATCGAGGGCTGTTCAATAAATATTGGGCAGAACAATAACGTAACATAACACACACCTTAGAGTAACGCATTTCAGCTGCTTTTTTCTGGCTAATGGCTAATATAAGGAGCACTATGCAAAAAAAAAAAAAAAAAAACTCTGTCTACACCCACCGTATAGCACCGATATGGCCTTTATGGTTAACAGAGTTATAAGCGAGTATAGGTACTGCAATACGTGCGCGGCACTACCCTTCAGTTAAACCTAAATTTGTTCACCGTGTAAGATCAGATTGAAAGGCACACAAGTTGATATAGCGATAGGTTAGTGAAGCGCCGTAATATACTACTTTCTGCCAGAACATTACGAAGGTTAAAACGACTAGGGTTTGCCAAGGCGGTTAGATAACAATAAGCCCCCACTTGGGCTAGTTTCCCAACTTGTATTGTTAAGGTGCTTAATCTTATGCTTATGTTAAAAAAAAAAAGGCTTATTTTTCATGCACAATTTCTTACCTATCTATAGATTCTACAGAATCTGTACACTTTGTCACATAGCTGTCGTAGGAAGGATTGGTACAGAAACAACTTTCCTCCCTTTCTAGAATCAAACGAAGCCTAGGAGTATACCATGGTCGATGTGTGTGAGAACTATATATGCTGTTCAGGCCTCGTCCTATGCCATAAGCGTACAAATTGTGATTGTGGCTCCCTGACTTTAGAATGTCAATGTGTCAGCGAGCTTTGTTACCTTAATTAGCCCACACTAATCGGTTTACATTTGCAAAACTCTAGCTAATTATCATAAAGTCATTAGGCATCAAATTTATGCAATACATACAAACACCTAAACCCCCACCCACACATACATATCTACATGTAGTATATACAGGTATAGAGAGAGAGAGCGAGATACAAGCCATTTGTCTAAGTCAATTATGTGCTGCCGCCTTTGGCTGAACATTAATCGCCAACAAAGCTCAACAACTCAAATCGCGCGTCTCATTTTCGACATTTAATTACTTTTTGCACACACTTCATTACAAGCGGATTTGGCGTGCATTCACATACAGGCACACCTGCCCTACACACACACACACACAGCCACATACACACACACCCAGACACACACATGCTTAGAAGCAGAAACAGAAACAAAAACATAAAAGTCGCCCACCTGCCGCTTAGCACTTACAGCTTGGCAACAACATATACGATCTGTTATTATATAGAAGTGGCGGATGTATGTGTGTGTTTGTGTGTGTGTGTGTGTGTGTGTGCACGAGAATGTGAGACTGCAAGGATGTGTGTGGCTGTCCGCTTCAGCCACAAATCATATCGAGTTTGGTTTATTGCGCGCCCATCGCACACAGTCTCTGATGTTTTTATGAACTTGGCGGCGCGCACCAGCTTTTAAATTTATACTCTCGTAATATTCGTATTATATATGCCCAGTGCCAGTTTTTTTTTTTCCTTCCTTCCTTCTTTACATGTGTGCGATATGGCATGCAGTGACCGAGATCCTTTGGCATTATTTATGCGCCTGCATATTCACATTTGTAGTCTTAGCAAACTAATGATTTGTTTAGATAAAATATATAGCGCGCAGAACACTTTAAGTTGCCGTGAGGGGAAAAGAGTTCTTGAGCTACTCTTAAGCTATTTTAACAACAGTTTTTTATTGGTTTGGCGAACAAATTTATTGCGTAACAAATGTATATAATTATTAATATATATTAAATTTCATTTAAATCCAAAGAATTCAAAAGTACTATACACAAAAAGAAACTTAGAACAAGTGATTAAAATACAAGTACATGTTCAAGAAATGAAGCATCCAATTTCTACCACTCGTCGACTATCGAGTCGATATTCAAGTCCTGAAGCGTCCTTTATTGCTTTCCATCGTATAAGCTTTGTGAGAAATCATGCTTCAAATGTTTTGAAGTAGATCAGGTTTCGAAAAGAAATAAGACATGCAAGTGCAGCCACAAGTTTTGTGAGAAATAAATAAATATTAAAATAAAAACAGATCCGAAAATAAAAAAGGCATCCGATTACTGCCACTTGTTTAGTCGATATTCTGTCCTTAATCGTTGCTTTCATATAAGCTTCGCAAGAAATGAGCCCGATTTCTTTTCGCCGCTTTTTAAAATTCTATTTCTTTTAAAAATTACTAAAATGGCTTTAACGCATTATTTTGCTTCAAAAATCTAATAGTTCTTTCGACATATGAATATTAGAAATTTTATATGTTAGATTATGGCTTGCAAAACCAAGTCTGACTAAAATTAGTAAATCGCTGCGAATAAAATTTGTTCAACGTATAAATTTAAACATGGTTTACTAAGATAAATGAAATTACAGGAAGTATTTGAAAAGAATGGTACAATATTATAGACATTGGCTTTGTTGAGAAAGAGGAATGTTTTTTTGGGGTTATCTGGGGTAGGATAGGAGATAAAGTTAACAAAAAAGTTAATTAAAGAAACTCTGTAATGAGTTTTTTTTTTCTTGATTACTCCCGACAACAATTCGAAGGTGACACAAAATATTTATTTGCAAAAGCAAAGCCATCCTAAATAAAAATTTAAATTAGCTTTCAAGAAGATTGTGTACGCGTATTTCTAAACTGCATTCGTATTTATTTGTAGAAAGCTTTATGCTAACTTTTTTCTTTTGGAGAATCTGTGAAGAGCTACTTACTAAAGACATCTAATTTACATACGACTATTATTTGTTCAGCCTTAAAGTTGATTGTGTTTTTGTAAATTGTTTGACTATATTTGTATTTAATTTTTGAAGGCTTGCTCTTTTGAAGCATCTGTGAAAAGCTGCTTGAAGAAATCTAATTTAAATAACACTATTATTTTCTCTACGAATAAAACCACAATCCAATGTTCAGAGCTTGTATATTTTGCAGAATTTTATTTAAATTGTACATATATTTTGAGATTTTCTTTTTTGTCCTTTTTTTGTTCAAGAACGTACATACTAGCCTGTCTAAATTGAAAGAATGTTACACTTCATTTAATCAAATTCATCACATTATAACAGCATCCTCGCAACAGCAACATCACCAACAACAACAACAAGAACAACAACAACAACAATCCAACATCCTTAGCATACCGAAAGCATCTATTTTTTCGCTGTTTAGTTGTGTACCTTTCATTATTTTCATCTCGCGTTAACTTTATCGCTCGACTGCCAACCGATCTACTTCATTTCCTGTATCCTCCACCCACACACCCACACGCCAATACACCAACACACCCACAACTAGCAAAACGTTGCAAATGAACTTGACTCGAACAGACGTTCGAGTTTCCCGTATCTGTGTCTATATCTGTAGCTGTAACTGTAACTGTGTCTGAATCAGAATCTGATGTTGTTTCTGTTTCTGTTTCTATTTCTTCCTTTTTCGTCTGCGTCTGTGTCTGCATTTTGTGCAACCGTGGCGCCATCTTTTCGCAGGTCTCATTAAGCATATCCATTCTGCTGTCGCTGACTGTGTTCTTCCTGCTGCTGGCGGAAATCATTCCGCCCACATCGCTGGTGGTGCCACTGCTTGGCAAGTTTGTGCTCTTCACCATGATACTGGATACGTTCAGGTGAGTCTGATGCGCCATCTTCCGTATTCTGTATTCTCTATTAAATGTGCCGTGCGACATGCGTTCGATTTGCGTGCCAACTGCCAACTGATAAGGCAGCACCTTCTCCCCCATCCGACTCACCGTTTCTAACTCCCTCCTGTCAACTGACGTGTGTGTGTGTGTGTCTGAGTGTATGCGACATTTTTTCTTTATTGTGCTGCTACGAGAAGGAAACGGAAACAAAAAATAAAACTTTGCCCATTTTTTCCCTTTTTTAGGTACGTGTATATTTATTTATGTGTGTGTGTGTGTGTGTAGGTGAGCCGCATGCTCGCTCAGTTTAAATTTGGCCCCATTGCGATGACACTCAACGCATTTGGCCACACGCCCAGACTCTAATTCAGACTGAGGCTCAGGCTCAGACACAGACGCCTAATGACTGTGCGAGTACAGTGAGAAAATATGTGTGTTAGTTCTCTATTTGTATTCAATTAGTAATGAAACCATTTTGGTGTCTGAATAACGATGGTTTTACAAAAGTCGTTCTTTGGAAACTTTACAATTCCAAAATAGGTTCGTAATTAGCTGACAATAGTAGAATCGAACTGAAATTTTTACATATATAGTATAGCCGGTCTATGTATTGCTGAACGACTAGAGCTGACGGGCTGATAATTTGTAATCAAAATCGTGTAACGTTTGTACTATAAACAATTGATTGGAAAATATTGCTTTCTGAACAATACAGTCTCATAAAGAGGCTCACAATCTTTTTTAAAACAGCTGATTGATTACACACAAGTAATAAAGGCATGTAATCGAACAGCAAGTTACCGGAAGCCAACTTAAACAATCTGTATCTGATGCAAAATATCTGACGTTGTAACGAGAGAACTTGTGATTCAACTTACCAGCCAAAGCCATTCTAAAAACAGGACGATCTGCGGTAACTAACCAATAAAATATACAAAATGTCTTGTTAAGTGAAAGTTCTTATTTGATGGATATAAGAATTGGATCATGAACATAAGGACATGTAATCAGAATAGCAAAGTGCCTTATAAAAGACCGCAAAAACAAATAGAAAAGCAAACTTAACCAATATTTCAGCACAAAAGAAACCTGTTTTAAATCAGCAGTACGTATCTGATGCAAAATATCTGACGTTTTAACGAGATAGCGTTTCATTTTATTTGCCAGTCAAAGCTACAGAAATAAACTTCACTTTAAAAATCGTACGATCTGCGGTAACTAACAAAACAAATATAAACAACTGTCTTTTTAAGTGAGAGTTTTAATTCGATGGATATAAGAATTGGATCATGAACATGAAGACATGTAATCAGAATACCAAAATGCGTAAAAAAATGACCACAAAACAAATAGAAAAGCAAACTTAAGTGATGTTTTGTGACCAAAATCGTCCTATAAATCAGGACTGTGTATCTGACGCAACAAATCTGACTTTAAAATAAGTAAACAAACTCCGCTCCAACAATCGGATCTGCGTAAACTAAGTAAATGAACGCAAATTTGTCTCGAGTGAGAGCTATTTTTGAACTCTACGAAGATAAGAATTATGCAAAAAGAGTGGCGAATTATAGCAACATTAAATAAAGCGACGGCTTTTAGCAACACTAACTACCAATGTCCCCCTCACTAGTAATTGCTACATTTTCTCAAAAAGCATCTTATCAAGAAAATGTATTTTTAGAAATCTGTTAAATAAATCACAAAATCGTCTATTAATTAGAAAGCGTTTCAACATAATAAGCTTAGATTCGTTGAATGCCACACAATTTCAATCTCATTGGTCTGGCGCATGATACTCAACGTTAATCCGATTAGATGGCCATCATTTTGTCAGTGTAGACGGCGAGAGATAGGACTGGAAGTCAAACTTCATAAATGGCCAACAATTTACAGCAATTTGCCACGCCCACACATGATGGCCGAGCTGAGGGCAGTGGCGCAATGGCCGCTTAATTATTTGTAAACAAAAGAGAGCGCGACGTTGTCCGGAAGAATGGGCAAGTTGCCCAATGGCCGGCCGACCCAAATGGACACCAGCATATGCCCGGGCGCAGAGGCTCAATTGTTGCACTCGCCACCATCCATAGATGGGACCCGCAATGCCGCAGCACCGCAACGTCTTCATTTGTGGAACGGTGGCAGACGCAACAGGAGTCGCCGGCCGCATCAATGATGTAATTAAGCTGCCAGGGCTGGGGACGAAATTGGGACCGCTCGTTTGTTCTGTTGTCCTGTTGGGCACTCGTTGTCAATGCGTCCTTCCGACCTTCGACCCCTCCTCCCCCTCCTCCTCCTCCTTATCGCTCTCTCCCTCAATCCCTCTCTGGCTCTCTCTCTCCCTCCCTCTGCCTGTCTGTCTGTCTATTCATTCGCCTCTGCCTGTCTGCTAATTAGTCGTGGGTGTGTGTGTGTCGCTATGTGTGTAAGTTTCAAAGTTAATTACCCAGGCCATGAAGAGGACGCACTTAATCACACGGCAACTCAATGGCAAAGCATAGGTTGAGCCCTAACCATTCCTTTTGCCCACAGCATCTGCGTGACGGTCCTGGTCCTCAACATACACTTTCGCTCGCCACAAACACACACCATGGCGCCCTGGGTGCGCACCGTTTTCATCAATCAGCTGCCGCGTTTTCTGGTCATGAGACGCCCGCTCTATCCGATCAGCGAGATGATGTAAGTATATCCGAACCCTATCCCTACACGGCCAACTCATCAACTCAGTTTGTCTCAGCGGCAAAATAAATCATTGGATTCTTGAAGTTACATTCACCAAAAAAAAAAAAAAAGAAATAAAAAAGTTTCACTTCTTTCGTTTGTCGGGGGGTTATTCAATTATTTCCAATTATAGCATACATACGCATCAATAACAAGAAGTCTGTGGAAAATTGTAATAAAGTTAAGTCTGCAACGAAGATGTTCCTAATCTAGTATAGCATAGTATTAGGGTTGTTGATAATCTAAAGAAATGTAGATGTACATTAATTTTATAAATTTTTTCAGAATTTTTACAGATTCCTTTCAAGCAAAAAAAAAATGTGCGTGCCAGAAATGGAGCTTAATGGCTTTTTTAAATAATTTAATTTGATTGATTTTTATTAAGATTGGTGAGGAGAGCCTTTATAATAATTCACCAATAATCGTTAGATAATCTAAAATTTACTTAAAAAGAATGACTAGAAAATTGATTCAAAACTATTATGAATAGCTAGAAAATGGCTAGAAAAACAATTATAAGAAGCTATAGAAAGTGTTAAAATTCCGCTAAAAACCCGCCAGAAAATATATAGAAAATCCACTAAAAATAGCAGAAAAATCCCGCTCGAAAATTGCTTAAAAACCGGCATGAATAGCTAGATAATGGCTAGAAAAACAATTATAAGAAGTTAGGGAGAGGGTAGAAAATCCGCTAAAAATCCGCCAGAAAATATCTAGAAAAATCACTTAAATCAATCAAATACCAAGATATAGAAACCCCGCTAGCAAATAGCTAGAAACTCCGCTGATAAATATTCCTGGAAAACCACTAGGTAGACATAAATGAGCAGAAGCGAAATCAACTGCTGACGATTGCGGGTTTTTTTTTGTGAAGCAATATGTTTTCGAAATATGACCGATAGGAGAACACCAAGTTTGTTTAAATTTCAGATTGTACCGTTAGGTTCATAACACAGCTGATTTTTTTGTTTACATTCATAATTACAACTTTGCCAGCTGGTCTACTTGCTGTTCATTTATGTGCGCCTGTTACCGTGCTATTGGTTTCGTCACAGAAAAGGTTGCCGATCCAGCATTCAAGAAGAAGAAGTTTCACTTCAAAATTGAGTCACATTTACGCCTATGGCGAAAGCTAATATCTTCGTTATCTAGTATTTCACCAACATAAATAGATGGCTGGTCAGGCACTACGTCTAAATACTAGTGTTAGCCTCACATGCTAGTTATAGTGACTAAATAATTTGTTTGATATTTGCAGCAAATCCTCGCGCCGCCTAATGGTGCGCACTTGCAATGGACTCGAACTGAGGGATCAAATACCACCGTTGCCACCGCCTGTGGCTCTGTCGCGGTAAGTACCCCAAGTGGGAGGGGGGGGATGAGGAGCTGTGTTTGTAAGTGAATTATAAAATTTGCAGCATGCATCACAGTCCGAAGACAACATCGCGCAGCACATCGCCACACCTGCAACACAGAGTACATAACCTCAATCTGATGGATGAGCTGGGGGGCGGTCTTATTGGTGTCGGCGGCGGCGGCGTTGGCGGCGGTTGTGGCGCCTCCACCATAACTGGCCACCTGAGCTCGCTCTATCCGCCGACCATATCGACGGTGAATCAACAAACTTCGACCACCTCCTCGCTGATCGATGCCCAGTATCACAATCAGTATCAGCAGACCGGTGGTTCACTGCTCGATCATCCACTGACGCCAACCAAGTTCCGTCAGATGACCTCGACGTCGAGTCAGACAGGAAATGGTGGCGGTGGCGTTGGCGTTGGCGGAGTTGCTGGTGGAGGCAATGCCGGCTATCATTATTATGCACATGGCGCCGGCGGCGGCAAATCCTCTTCGACCACCACGTTGCATCAGTCGCAGCAACAGCAACAACAACTACAACAACTACAACAACAGCATCAGGCCAGCCAGGCCTCCTCCTATCATCTGTACAGGCAGCAATCGACCTCGTCGGCAAATTTCTCACCGCTGCCCCAGCACGCGCATCAGCACCACGCGTCGACAACCACCTGCGACCTGCTTGGCAGCAACAATCCCAATGTGATAAAGTCAACGACGACCGTTAATTCGGTGGCCACCGCATCAACTTTGGCGGACTCCTGCTGCAGCGGCACCATACAGATCCATCAGGGCATGGGTGCCGGCGTTGCCTGTCAATCCTCTGAGTTGCTTCACGGCGCTGGACGCGCCACAACCTCAGCCGCAGCAGCGGCGGCGGCGGCGGCAGCAGCTGCAGCAGCGGCGGCAAATGCCAGCAGCTCAACGGCAGCGGGTGGCAGCCTCTCGACGCCGCCACCACCACCGCCGCCAGCGTCCGCGGCCTGTGATATACTGCCCGCCTGTCAGCGCGAGGGCGGACCGCATTGCTGCTCCGGTCGTGGAACGGTGCGCCAACGCTGGCACACCTGTCCCGAGCTACACAAGGCCATGGATGGCGTCACGTACATAGCGGATCAGACGCGCAAGGAGGAGGAAAGCACACGGGTAAGTGCCGAAAGAATAAAGCACCTGATCCAACATTTCCATTGCGAGACCCCTGAACTCAAACGATTTTAGTTTTTATTACTATTCTACTATTTCTACAAAATATAATGCACACTTCTTCTACTACTTGTATATAAAGGTTAAAGCTCGATTCGATTCGATCTGAAAATCTAATGCAATATTATTGCTTCCAACAGTCAGATATGTAATATGATATACGCGAGATATATGTCTGCAAAGTCCTTACTGATCAAAAATTTGCACACAAACTCTCTAACTATATCTGGAATACAACGTTATTTTATTCAAAACCTAGAATTGTTATTCTAGGTATATTTTGAAAGCTGTTTGAAACAGCCTTTTAAGGCCCACTAGTGAAATGAATTTGATGGCAATTCCGCCAAATTTAAAAGAAATGCGGAATAAGAAAGGGTCCTCTTGTATTAAAATCTTTCTATATTTCGAATACATTTTGGTACTAAATTATAACACACATTTAGAACTTATAAGCATATCTTAACGATAATTAGTGAACATTTTTAAAAAGAAGCGGAATTAGGAATTTAACTTTAGTATAAAACAAAACCAATAACTATCCTGTATATCCAAAGAAGTTTAGGAGTTACTTTTAAATTTCTGTGCAAATTATTTGCATATCTGACCATAATCTTAAGGGAATTCCAGAGATTCAGAGATAAAATTCACTTAATTGATGTAAACCGCACCAACACACTGGATCAACCGAATGGGTGTGAAATATGCGGGCAGGTTGTGGTAAAGGACATGTCACGCGGCCTTGACAGCAGGCGATGGTTACGGTTAACTATATCAGGAATACAATGTTACTTTTTTCAAAACCAATAACAATTCTAAGTATATTTTGAAAGCTGTTTGAAACAGACTTTTAAGGCCCACTAGTGAAATGAATTTAAAAGAAATGCGGAATTAGAAAGGGCCCTCTTGTATTAAAATCTTTCTATATTTTAAGATAAGCGGAATTAGTTAATATAACTTTAGTATAAAACAAAACCAATAGCAATCCTGTATATCCCAAGAAGCTTAGGAGTTACTTTTAAATTTCTGTGCAAATTATTTGCATGTCTGACCATAATCTTAAGGGAATTCCCTCAAATTTCATGGGGAAACAGATTTGGGAAAAGATCCAGGATACAATTCACTTAATTGATGTAAACCGCACCAACCACGCTGGATCATCTGAATGGGTGCGCGATATGCGGGCAGGGGTGGCGGCAGGTTGTGGTAAAGGACATGTCACGTGGCCTTGAACTGACAACAGGCGACGGTTACGGTTACAGTTGCGTTGATGCTGACTCTGATTCTGATTCTGACGGCGAAGGCGACGCACGACAAACGACAAACGCTTGAAAATCAGGCCAAGTGGCTGCCATGGCGGCGTCGACGCTTTTATCGATTGATGTGCGGCTGTAGGCGCTGCTCTCTCGCTTACATAATTTCATGGGCAAAGCCGCTTATCATTGCCACAGCTTAGTGTTCTGTTCTGCTCTGTTCAGTTCTCAACGCTGGCGGCTGATCCCCGGGGCGGAAGTGGAGCGCGCCCCTGGGCGGCCATGTTAATAAGATGCTGTTCGGCTCGATTCGTTTCGTCACCCCATCCTCAACCACCCCGCCTGTCCTGCGATGGCAATCAAAAGCGCAATAAATTAGAGCGGCCTTAGCTTAGATTTATTAAAACGTCAATAATCGATGAGCGGCCGCGGGGTAACACCTAGCCAGAAGGGAAACACTATAAAACGCAAGTGTGCGAACGATACAAAGACATACTATGTGTGGAGAAAGAGAGAGAGAGAGAGGGGGGAACAGAGAAAAAGATGGCTCCAAAGGAAACGGCTGGACATGTCACTCAACGCCGTCGACACAAAGAACTGACTAGCCATCAGTGGCTGGTGCCGGCGACGTCTTCATCGCATGTTGCCGCTGATGAGGTTCCCATTAGAGATGAACAATACATTAGCCTACAACTAACTAGGTATAACTATTCTAATTTATCTTCGCTGCAAATATTTTTAATAGCACACAATTAAGTTTTGTTGGCAGTTTAAGGGACACTTTCAACTTTAATTTATTCACTTTTCTTAAAACTTTATGTATTTACAAGTGAAATAAAGAGATCTTAATGTTAAGAGCACAGACAGCTTACCTTTATCTACTTAAGTGAACCAAATGGAGAAATGTAAAAGCTAACAACTATTGAGAGTGGAAACCGGGAAAAATCATATAAAAAATATCCAGAATTAATGGACACTTTGTTGTTTAAACATTTTATGATAATACATCATCTTAAAAAATAGTTTGAAGGACTATTTTTTAACCAACATTTGTAACATTTTATTAAAAGCTATCAATCTTATGAGTTATAATTTCAATTTTTATTAAATAATCGATAATAATACAATCATCTTTAGAGACAATTTATTGCCATTTATTTTATTTTTTTTATTCCAAAAATGTTTGAAAGCTATTTTTTGATATGAACGCATTATCTTTGCAGTCAGCGAGAGTGAGAGAGAGATTTTTAAGATGTCGAATAATTGCTTGACACATAACAAATTTATTTTCAAATCAAATATTCAATGTAGTTATTATATCATCTTTAAAGATAATATTGAGGAACAGCTTCTCACAAAATATTACTAAACAGCTTTTTGCCAAATATTGGTATACTTTCGATATTAATAAGGTTACATGTTGTTTGTGTGAGAAGTGAACACGAATATTCAACCAAAAGCTCACTTCAAAGCAAGGAATTCTTGTGACAAAATCGCAGATGAGATATAGACATCGCACATCTCTAGTCGCTGCTGCTTTTACGTATGATGATGATTTTGTCCATACGTTTACGCCGTCTGCCGTCTTGCCCTTTTGTTGACCTTCGTTGCCCGCCACCAGCCAACAGCCAACAACAACAGCAACCGAAATAGCAACAACAATAACTAAAACATGTGCTGCTATTGCAGCTACAGAGCTACAGAGCATATGTATAGAATAGGTATACTTCTATCGCACAGTGGCCCATTCGGGGGGCTTTCGTGGACAACTACCAACGAGCCAACCATAGTTTGGACGGTTTCATTGTTCCAGAAACGGTAAAATGGCTTCCACTTTCCTTATTTTCATTGGTTTTTTATAATTCCATAGTGTTGATCTTTAAACATGATTCAAACATCATCTAGAGATATGCCCCCCATGTTAAATATCTTTGCTTTGAAGAAGAGTAAGAGATAATTGCCATTCATGGTTATTTCTCTTATTTGCATTTCATGGGTCTTTATTCTTTATGTTATTTGGACTTTGATTAAATGGCGATTACTGGTGGACAATTCAAACTTAAAGATAATACTTCAACATAGTGTACTCGTCTATATGTAGTCTATAACTTTAAGTACAAGTAGTATCATAAAGTCATTTTCTCGATATTTTCTTTAATAATATTTTCCCCACTTCATGTATAATTCGTACAAAGTTTGCATTTTTATTCGGAATATTAGACATATGCCACGATAGCAACGAAATTAATTCTCCTATTCCCCCAAAGCACCGCATAAAGGTAAAGGACGTTATTTGTTTAGAAACAGAACTTTGAGAGTTTTAGTTTCTACATTCCGAACTAGGATCGCCATATTAATTTCCCAACTTAATACTATGTATTTAGTTAATATTTTGAGAGTCCCTAGTGAAATTCATTTTCAATTGAAGTTTAAAAAATGTGAAAAACCATAAAAGCTTTTAAACCTTAAACTTCAATAAATAAATAATTAAGGAAATTTATTTATTTATTACTCCATTTGAAAACGCCAGTTTAGGCGAATTAAGATCTCAACATTTTTGCGATTACTCAAAGGATTAACAAAAAGCTTTTAATGAAATCATCACTCTATCCAAAAGCTATTTCTAATTTTAAAAGAATCTTCAGAATCTGAAAATATAAGACTTTTCTTAACCACCAAGGTATTTCAATTGACATTTTTTCAACACCATTCTTCTGTTAAATTATTTCATAGAAACTAGGAAGAGTGCTTTCCCAGGCTTTAACTTAAGAATAGTTCTGTCTGAGAAGAGATTGTATTTTTTGCCGCTTTCAATGCGAAAACCGACCACTGTGCACCAATTTGGTGTTCGCTGTCGTCATTTTTCCATTGTCCATTGTCCATTGTCTGTTGCCGGTTGTTGGTAGAAAGATGGAGCTGGCAGCTGCTCTCTGACCGTTTTGGGTACGCATTTTATGTTTTCATGCGCCTAGTTGGACAATACAGCACATGTGTGCCTCTGCATAGACACACACGCACACACACACACACACAAACATTCATACACACTTATGAGCATGTGTGTCTGTGTGTGTGATTGTGAGACGCTTATGGCTGCTGTCAAGGAATTGCGTCGCGCCACGCCACGCTGCGCGTAGCAGTCGCACAAAAGTTTTAATGACTTTTCATGCGCCTCATGAACAGAGCAGAACTGACTAGAGACAGACCAGATACAGGGACGAAGATGGAGACGGAGGCAATGTCCAGCGGGTCCAACGAGCAGCACCAGCCATCAGGCACCAGCACTAGAACCAACACCAACACCAACATCCACACCAGCTCGAAGTCCGAGTCGAAGTCGATTGGCAAGCGGCGCACTTTTGTAGTTTCTGTCAGGCCATGGATGGACATAATGAATGTCTTGTGGCGCACAAAATGCCAATGAAAGTATTTTATTAAAATTACGCACACACTCAATCATTATTGGAATGTCATGCTGAGCTTAGGCAGAGCACAAAACACGTCTAGGGAGGATTGGAATGGCCTCGAGTGCTGTGGCCGTTGGTCTAGTGTCTAGTGCCTTCGGCATTTACATTAAGTGCGTCTAATGTGCTCGAAGTGGCTGCCACGCCCATAAGCAAACAACTCCCCAAATGTGTGTGTGTGTGTAAGGACATCAATGTGTGTGTGGTGGGAGTTGAGGAGTTGGGCTTTGAACAGCTGTTAACTGCTGAGGACTTGCAGCATAAGGATACCTGATACCCATGCATGCAGAGACAGAGACTGGCTTGGTTGAATGGCATTCGATTGCTTGAAAGAATTCGAGAAACTCACATCAATCGCCAATCGCAAGTACAACTATGAGAGATGAAATTCAACTTGTTTGTCCGACGTCAGACGAAATGCACTAAAAACCATACCAAGTGGGGTGCCAATTCTGTAAAAAGGGAGGCAAGTCATAGTTAATTGATGTATGGGGTGAACAATCGACCAAGCCTCTGAAGCACTCTCCACAGAGTGTGGCATTAAATGCCCACAAATATGTCGAAAGCAAATGAATTGTGAAATTGAAATGTTTTCGACACACAAAGCTACCGTCATTTCCTTCTCCACAATCATTTGGAAGACGAGAAAAACTTTCACAATGAGGGATTTGATGGAATGAATCACACGCATGAATGTACCAACTTTTTAAATCCTATTTAAGAGCCCCATTATATTGCATATCCATCAGCATGCAAAGTTGAATCTGTCCGTCCAACCAGTGCGGCTTACACCACTTTGTTGTCTAAGTATGCTTGCTTAAAGATATCTGAAATGAATTCATGGACGTCAAGAATTGATTCACATCGAACTAAAGCCATTTATCTTCGAACATTGAACAACTTCCTAATGAAGAAACTTCAACAAAAATGGTGACAAGACAACAAAGAAATTCTCACATTTTGCTGAAATATTTTGTTAAGGAAGAAAGTAATGCTAGCTTTCTTATTCTCATTTGTTTGATGAGATCTCCGAGTGAAAGGCAAAACGACTTTGCTCGGTCGATTGCTCCTAAGGTATTAAAGGATCGTCAACTTTTCTCTATTTATCTCTGAAAATCTGTTGTCTATAATTGCGCCTTTTCTCTGCCACTCTCTTTACATGTTTTAATATAGAATAGAGAAACTATTGGCACCTATTTTTCAGTCTTATCGTCTTGAAAATCTCTTCTCATTTTCCATGCCCTCCTTGCAACTTGCTTTCTCCGTAGTTCTCATTCGTTTCATATCTCTTCTGTTCTACAAGCCTTCTTTTTGTGACCATTCTCTCTGTTCTCTTGTCAGCCCAACTTCTTCTTCTTCATTGCTATAATGGAAATCTTTTTCTTCCTCTCCTAAGCTTTTGGTTTTTTTCTCCCTCCATCTTTCCATAAATGTTCTCTTTTCGCTTTTTTTGCCCTCTTGCAACTCTCTTTCTCCCTATTTCCCATTCCTTGAACCTCACTTCTTTTTCTCTAAGTGACCATTCTCTGTGCTCGCTGGATATTGGATATCTCCATTGCCGTCATATGCTTATCTAATCTCCATCTCTGCCTCTCTCTTCTCCACCAATTCTATATACTTGTATAGTAAGAGAACTGCTTTTTAATCATCGCTCTCTTTCTCTGTCTTTTATTCTTAATGTGCAGGTTAAAGAGGACTGGAAGTATGTGGCCATGGTGCTAGATCGTCTCTTCCTCTGGATCTTCACAATAGCCGTGGTCGTCGGCACTGCCGGCATTATCCTGCAAGCGCCCACACTCTACGACACCCGCGTCCCCATCGACATCAAGTTGTCGGAAATCGCATCGACGACGGCCAAACCAAATGTGGCACGACCCGTGTTGTAAGTCTTTTTAAAAAAAAAAAAACCGCTGGAGTCCGCAAGTGGAACAGCAACAGAGACAGAAACAGGACCCGAAAAAAAGGAGCAGGAGTTGGCAAGCAAGGTGAGCGGGCAACTCCTGCATATTAGTACTAACATATAAAGATAACAGAATTATAAATTATAGTTTGTACTAACAACAACAACAACAGCAACACACAGACAGTCTGACAAGCAAAATACGTGCAACATAAATCGCATTTGTTTTTCTATTGTGGAATTTGTTCTCTATTTAAATTTTAATTGTTTTTTTTTTGTTTGTTTTTTTTTTCTTTGGTCGTGTACGACAGAGCAACACAAACAGTATAATTATCTTAATACAAGACGAAGAGAAAATAACAACAACAAAAACAACAGTAACAGCAACTTGTTCCAACAAACAAACAAACAAACAAATCTAACTAACTATAAGTAAGAATAACTGTATTGTTATATACTTAACATAACTGTACACTAATGTTAAATGCAAATGGTTTTTTTTTCTCAGTCTAGGCATATTTAACAAAAGAAAAAAAGGTACACTAACTAACTGAGGCTAAGAGTAAGCTATAAAAACCAAAAAAAACAAAAACAAAAGCAAGCAACAAATTATAAGCAAACAGAAAACGTAATGAGAAAATATTTCAAAAATATTTATGCATAGCAAAAACAAATTGTATTTGAAAAGAAACAAAAAAAAAAAACAAGAAAAACAACAACAACAACAACAGAGATAAACGAAGTGGGAAGAAGAGGAAAAACTAGTGAAATTAATTAACAAGCAGCAATTAGCATTAAACAAATGAAGTTAGCTAAGTATCATATACATGTGTGTGTGTGTTGTGCGTCTGTGTCTATGTGTGTGAATGGAAAATAGAAACAAAAAAAAAACAAATCACTTTTTTTCATGTGCGAGTGTTTGTCTATGTGTGTGTTTATGAACGCTCAAGTTGTAAATGAGGCATACGAAATTATGCAACAAAAAAAAAAAAAAACAGAGCCCCCGTCAACGTGTTGTGAACTGCCAGCAAATAATTAATAGATACTCGTACTCGCAAATACATGCAAGTACCCCCTAGAACAGTGTGTGGCAATTCACTTTGCGGTTTAACGAATTTCACAGTTACGAACTACAAGTAGATAGGGAAAATGTCCGAGGTGCTTTTTAAATTCGCCACAGCCAAGATAAAAATGTCTCCCTTCCATAATCTCTCCTGGCTTGAATATGTCGGGAGCTACTTGTCTGCTATAAACCCTTCACTGTGTCTTACAACAAAACTTTAGTACTAACTTGTTAAAGTTATCTTTACTTATTTAGTATTTTGTCAACCACACACGAGTGATGCAAAACCATTAAATATGACTACAACATTCTCAATATGCGATTTGATTCCCAGGCTTTAGAAGTAAACAAGTTATTCACACAAAACTATTTATAATTCCTATAATATAGTGATCTGACACTGTCGTTCTCAACATATTATCTGTGTCCGTCGAAAAGAGGTGTCCAAAGCTCCAAAGCTATGAATTCGTCTTGTCACGCTGATCATATAAAATATAAATAGTTTGTACCTATAACACGTGATCTATCATTCTTCCAATTGAGTTTTACAAACCTATATTCAGTATATAGTGAGAACAAATTAACGAAGAAAAGTGTAATTTCAAATATATATAGGCAAAAGGAGGAAATGAGTTTGAAATGAAGAAAGACTTACCATTATCTTGGGCAGAAAAAGAAACAAAATACACATTGTATTTATTTTCGTCCTTTTCTTACACTTTGAATTTTTGTCTAACCTTCAGCATTTTTCACGCAGCCGGTTGGGGTATGTCAGAAGCTTCTAAATACTAAGTTTGCAACTACTGAGCAGCTTAGTAGTATTTTTTTCGACAGTCATATACCAATCAGCTTTTGAGCACTTGCCATTCTGGGAATATAAGCGGATTTCAAACCGTTTCTTTCACATTTGTCAAATGTTTCTAATACGTTTACTTATAAAGGCGATTACATTTTATTTAAATGTAAAAAATCAATAGCTTACTATTTCAAAGGATAACAAATTCACGTCAAAACCCAAAGCACAAAATCGTTTAATATAATACAAACCAAATTTGAATAATTTCTATTTATGGATTGCGGCCTTAAAACAAAAACCATAATAGTAATCCTCATTCATGCTTTGGTTTTTTTTTCAACAATTTTTTCTGCTGCTTGGAATATGGCTAAAAATAATATATAGAAACAAATTGAAACACTAAAGCCTTTAAAATTGTATTTAATGTGGTATGTAGTGTAAAGTGAATTGGAATATGTAAACCAAGATTTTGAACGCAATATGTGTTTCCTCTCCAAAGCTTTAAAGTCCACAGATAGTCATAATTTGCAACAACCTTATCAACATTAAGAATGCAATTAAACAAAATTAACGCGAAACAGCTTTGTGTACAATTTCAAACTCAACTAAAGTCACAATAGAATGAAATATTTATGTACTATTAGTAAGTAGAAAAAATGCAAAAATGTTTCAAACTTTGGTTGAATTCCGCGCTGAAATTGTTGACATTTTATGTCTCATAAAACAATAGACAGCACAATGATGAAAACCTCGTCAATCCCTAATATGCTTAAAATAAATCATAAAACCTTTCTATCCCAACTTCTCTATGCAATGCTTCAGAAATTCTTGCTTGCAAATAATGTTGGAATCATAGATGCAATCCTAAGTAGTTCTCACTTATTGCACTCATTGCAAAAAGGTTATGGATTATGGTAAGATGTAAAATCCAATAAAGCATTAGTATGATTTAAACATGATTGGCAGTTGGTGGTCAGTGCCGGTCGTCGACGACTCTGCAGTTGCCAGCTCTACTGGGTAGTGTACATATGTATGTATTTGCGTGTGTTGTGTGTGTGGCTTGCACGTGTTTGTGCATAGCTGATAATTATTATTTGATATGCACACATACATGCATGTACGAGTGTGTGTACTGCATATAGTATATGACTATAAATATAAATACATACATATATGCAGAGGCAATAGTTGGAATTCAATTAAAGTGCTCTCGACATCATGCTCTCTAAATTGGTCGCGCGTTTTTTGTCGCGCAATTAATGCGCTGGCGACGCGCGCGCGTTTCAAATGCGGTTGCCATTTATTTTACATGCATTTTATTTAATTTTTTGTTTTTTCTGCTTGCGTTTTGTCATTTTGCACGCTTGCTGCATAATTTATGCTAATTTATGCTCACACAATTCCCAACTAACACACACATACATATTTTCGCACATACGTGTTTACACACACGTGCGCCAAAGCGTTTTACACGCCAACAAATTACCAAAATTATGTCAAACTGCTAAACTACTGAAAAGTCGCGCCGCAAACGATCCCCTTACTCCATCCGTACCGCACCGCACCCTACCGCCTACTTGGCGCTATGCTTTATTTTATGCTTTTGCATTAATTTCATAGCTTTATTTCCGTGGCTGACTGCCTGGCTGTCTTGCTGTCTTGCTGTCTTACTGGTTGGCTGGCTGGCTTGCAAGCCAAGCTGGCAGCTCGGAAGCCTGGAAGCTGGCTAGCAAGCAAGCAAGCAAGCGAGCGAGCATATCTGCATTTCACGTTTAACGTTATTTTATTACAAAACATTTGAAAAGGGCCATAAAAGCAAATGCTGCACTAGAATGTCCTTGAGCATCGGGACAATGGTGTGGCACCAGCAGCACTAGGCAGCAGTAAGCAGCAATCGCGTCAGCCCAACAGCAGCCACAAAATTTCCCCCAACAACAGCATTCTGTTAAACGCCATTCTTTTAACAGCAGATGCCGAAGCTGGCATACTCTTCCTCTTCTGTAATAACAGCAACATTAATATACATTTTGAATATTGATTATCCGCTTGCAGCATCTTTAATATACTACTTATCCATTTTGGAAAAGTCCATGGTGGCTGCTTTGTTGCGGGATTTTGATCATTTCAATATTTTAATTGTAAAAATCAGAAAAATTCAGCATTAAAATTGTTTTAGATATTCGCTTATTTCAATTCAAATCAATTCCAAAAACTAAATAAAAACTGTTGTAAATATCCGAATATTTAATATTCAATATAAAATATAAACAAAAGGCTAACAATCAAATAAACTAGTAATACTCACATTTTGTGCAAAAAATTGTCCAAATCATTTTTTGGTACCTTTTAAAAAAATGTGGTAACAAAATTGTTGTATGTATTCCACTATATATCATATATTTGATAGGCATTGCTTTTAAATCTAGGGGTCAATATATATATATAACTATATATTCTATCCTAGCTACAATTTGAATAATTTAACATTTTGTTGAAGGTTTTCATGACATCATAAGTTGTGTTTAGCTTATTTTTATTAAACTCAACGTTTCACTCATTCACAATTAGAATTAAAGCTACATTCTTCCAACATCACTCTAACCTAAATATAGTACTATAATAAATAATTGGCACATAACAATTGCATTGCTGTTCCAAATCTAATTAAAATAGTGCGGAGTGAACATTTTTTTAAATTATTTATTCTATTTTAATTTTTATGTTCAAGTTGTCTGAATTTTAATAACCTGAAGCAGTAAACCTCTTCGGCATAATGATGTCCATTATTTGCTTTCCTATACTTTATCTTCATTTATTATTTGTTTCTGCTCTGCCTTCTATGCGTTTGCATTCTATTTTCATGCACGCTCAAATTTTTACAGGGCATGAAAATTTCCCATAAACAAAATGTTAGCTACAGAGCTCTGTTAAACGCGCTGTTAACATAACATAGCAGTCCTTGGCAGCCGACAAAGCTGTCCTTAAGATAATTTCATTTTCACATGATTTTCTACTGCCGCGCCAGCGTCACAAAAACAAATACACATCATTATAATAACGCTTGATACGATGATGTGCATCCCAGGACGCTGAAACATTTTATATATTTTTTAACTGAAATGAGCGT